GCTAGCGATTAAACATATCACGAACCACGTGCTATCTAGATCCCTAGCGCCAGGCTAGCCCTATTTTTATGCCAAGAAGGAAGAGGATTCAGGAGCCCTAGTTGCGTGATGCATCTTGTTGTGAATACAAATACAAATCGCAACAATCAAATGGAATTGCCACAGCAAGTGCTCCTGCTCCGGCTGCTGCTGCTACGAGGGTTTAACGTCCTTCGAACTACGATGTCACTCAAATCGCGCATTGCTTGAAGAAGCTTCTAGCTTATTTTGATTCGCAAAAGCATCATGTACCACTGCCATCACAACGCCACCAGTGCATCCGCGCTTGGGCAAGAGCAGACGCTCCGTGCGCCAGCAGCACGTTGAGGGGCCATGGTCGCCCAAGGACTCTAGCAAGTTGAGCCAATCTCCTAGCGCATACCGCTCAAGTCGATCTTGCCGTTGTCGGCTTTGCGAACGGCTTGCAGCACGAGCTCGGCGAACTCCCGCTCCCTCCGCTTGCCCCGCAAACATCCTTGATTGATCGTGTTCTTGCCATCGGTCGGGGTTGCATCTCGTAGGCTCTCCACGGTTGATTTCGAAAGGGGTGATTGGCAAAAACCTGCTCGTTCGTTTGCGCTTTGGCACAATTCTACTCAGTGCCAGCACGATCTGCGACTCCGACTCGCAGGCAGGAGACCTAGCTTACATCACGCAGCGCGTCGATGCCGTTGCGCCACGCAGCCCTATCCAGGGTGCATGTCAGCCCCCGGCTGGGCATCACCCGTCCGCATACCAGGGTCGACGATGGCAGCTTGCTGTGCGCCATGCCACAAAAAAAACGGACAGGCCGTTCGCGACAACTTCGATGCGGCGGTCATCGGAGACCGGGACATCGATGTCCATGTCGGCCGGGAGAACGTTGCGTGCGACCCGTGCCACTGCCCGCTCGAGAGGAAGGGGGTCGGGGATGCGAGCACACTTGAAGTTGCACATGTAGCCCTGTGATCGCCGAGGGGGTCAAGGCGACCGCGGCAGGCGCACGTGCGCGGTGCAACTGGCACCGGCAGGCGAAGCCGTCGCAGCAGCAAGAAACGGAAGAGTGGCGATGGCACCGTCGACTCAGCTGAGGTGGGGAAGACTGTGAAGGCACGCCTCGCGTGTGGCCCGGCGCCTGTGACAGCAGCAGCGCTCGAGATGCAGCATCGGTGTGAGAAAGAGCCAAATCCAGCGCGCGGTGGTCACCGGCGAGGCCAGCACGATGCGGCCAGCCTCGCAGAAAGTCCCCAAACTCACGTTCGTCGTGCCAGGGCCGTGCCTGCAGCAGCGAATCCCAAGCGGGAGCATCCTAGCCCTGTTCGCGGAGGCAAGCGGCCGCGTAAACGTGCTGCTGCGAGGGGCAGCGCGGTGTCGGCTGCCAGCGGCGCTCGCGCTCGAATGGTCGGCAAACAGTCCGCCCAGGAAGCCCCGTAGGCGGCGGGGGCGGCCTCCGCTGCCGAGCGGAGTCCGAGGCCACCATAACGCAAAGGGAGCTGCACGCTGGCTGCACGAGGCGCTGCGATGGTTGAAGCAGTGGTTGTGGGTGAGGGAATCCTGCGACAGCAGGGCCCCAAACCATGCGCACACGGCGGCGTCATGCTCGCGCGCAGAAGCCTCCGTCGCGCCAGGCGGGAGCATCCGGAGCAAGTAGGTGGCACGTGGGACGTGTTTCGCCTTGGTTGAGGCGTATGCGCGCATGGCGCCAGAGCGCGTCCTCCAGGGCGCCGTGCAGCACACCCGTGCGTTCGGGTGCTGACACGACATACGTGTAACGCGAAAATAGCCTCGCCCTCCTGGAGTCCCTCCGCTGCCTCGCTCAAAGCGGCGTGCTGCGCCAGGGAAAAGAGCGCCGGCAGTAACGGATGCCCTTGCTCGCATCCGTCGCCTTGCGACACGTCATGTTCGTTGCCCGTCTCGATAGCTGCAGACGCTGGCACTGCCGTAGAACTGACGGGCAAAAGGCAAGAACGGGGTGAGGGCCGGGCGGGACCGGAGACCTTCTAGCATTGCTTGGCGAGAGATGTGGTCGTAGGCACCGAATGCGTCGACGGACAGCACCGTCACACGGGCGTCCAAGGCCGTGGGCCGCGTGGAGGAGTTTGTAGAGGCCTTCCGTGCCCGCCCTCGTGCTCAACCCAAACTGGTACGGGAGGCAAGCTTCTGGAAAGCGGCGGTAAAAGTGTTGCGCCAGCGCGCGGGTTACCAGGCGCCTGAAGACGTCACCCACAACCACCGCCCGTATATGCGGCCATTCGGCTTCTGTTGAACACTGCCCACGTGAGGCTCGCGACGCCGTGCGGGCACTACAGGAAGGATGCGGCATAGCTTCCAGTGATGGCAAGACTCGGGCGCACAGCCATGGATGCAAGGTCAAAAATTCAAGTCTGGATGACACTGAACAAATCTGAACAAAAGTGTCGAGAGAGGCAAGTTGCGATGCCTCAGCCCTCCGCAAGCGCAAGCCAACTCCGTCACGGGCTGGGCGTATGCAACGATGTCGCCAGCGCTGCAAAATGAAGACGTCACTACCTGAGCCTAAACCGAACCCTTCAGCTTTTCAACACAAATTTTGGGTTTAGGAACGGCATGAACCCCAGATTTGTTGAAATCCCGGGCCAATCGCGTTGAGGATTCTTCGGGAAATGCATTTGGAGTTGGTCGTGGGCTTGAAGACCTCGACTCTTTCGGGAATCGTGCGAGGAACACTGGCAAAGCTGAAGCAGCTTTTGAATGCACTTGCCATGCATTGAAAATGCACTTTGGAACCTTGGAAACCACAGTAAAGCATCTGCAGTAGTATTATTTTTTGCCGGCAGTTTTCTGGATGAGGTGCAGTGCGTCCTCCAGCGGCGCGTGCGCCGATCCGATTCGCTTACATGGATTGCCTGCGTGGTGTGCTGCTGAGGTAGTTGGCTCGCAGCATAACACAAACGCGGCAGCTGGGGAGGACCCCAGGGGCTGCGCGGGCATGCGAGATCCGTTTGCGAGCCCTGCGAACCCCTGCTCCCGTTCGAGGAGCCGCCACCCAGGGCTGGTTCTGGGGGCTCCATGTCTACATATCTTTATGTGTACATCGTAATATTCGTAATATGCCTGCTTACAGATCTTTGGGAATATCGGCAGCACTGCACACATGTGCAGATGCGGAAGCACCGGAAAAAAACAAGGAAGAGACATGTTTACACATAAACAATGGGTGCAGACATGACCAGAGCCAAACTTATATGCGTGCTGCGTAACTACAAAGACTGCACGCACATATAGCACATGCGGATCTTTTCATGGAGGTAATAACATGTATGTAACATGTGTGAATGATATAATTCTGTCATACGGAAGGAGGACACTAATGGAATCCGTGACAACATACACACAAGAACAACTCATCATGTCAGTACAAAATCAGTGCTGTCACAAGCACAAACACATATCATGTGGCATTGCAAGCAATTGGCTCGCGGCTGCGCCGCGTCGGCGTGGAAAGGCTGCACCAAGGCAGGGCGAGCATCCAAAAAAACATTACAAACATAGTTAAAGCTGTAAAGCACAGTGTCCGGGATGTTTGGCGTGGATACACAGAGAATGTTCGAGAGACGAGCACATCACGACGTGCAGACCAAATAACAAAGGATTCATAACTGCAAGCGGTCACAAGTGCTGCTCATGTCCTAGGAGATGAAAGGCTGCAATATTCGTATGAAATAGTTAGCTGCTCGCAGGTGAAAGTAATGCCTCCGGTCCCTTGTTTGCACCTGGTCTGGGTCTGCGCACGACGCTGGCTACGGGCAAAGCAAACAACGCTCTGTGAGAGACCGAATCAAAGGTGGTCTCCACCCTGACTTGCACCTGACCCAAGGTTTGGCGGTAACTGCCATGGACTGCCAAAGCAAGCAACGGTCAACATGATGCGGAATCGAGGGTCGCACAATCCCCCGTGATACGGACACGCTACGCGGCTCGGCCGGACCAACGAGCTTCTTCGCATCCCGCGCCGCTGCCGCAGCTGCAGTTCGGAGCGCAACCCGACCGCACCAGTGGACTTAGCTCCTGCAAGCACTGGTCGGCAGCGTGACGTCTGCGGGCCGATGGCGATCGTCGAAACATGTGGTATAGGTATCTGTCGTGCACAACCCGCTCCCCCTGCGTGTGGCTGGCGCCGGTCGCGGCTAACCTGCGTGCTGCCTGTCGGCCAGGAAGTGCGAGCAAAAAAGCAACAAAACAACACCGAGCTCGTTCAGTACCTCGTTACCTTTCGTCTCGGCGATCGCCATGATGCGAGCAAAGACGAAGTCCCAAGAGTATGATTGCAGCTGTTCGCCAACGGGCGGCACAGGAGAGGGCGCACGCCGTCGACGGACAACGCACTGCGCCAGTGCCTCGGGCAGCCGCCCGACGATGGGCACTCGCAGTCGGATCGGAAAAACGTGGGCGGGTCGTCGATCCTTCTCTGACCTGCAACTGTGATGATATGGATACACTTGCGTCAGAAGCTTACACGGCAGACGGTAGGGCGTGTCCCAGTCGTCGCCCCAGGAAGACATACCGAGAGGCCATGTCGGAATGAGTCGAGGTCGTTGCAATGCTTGGCCAAGCGCTGTAAACCTCAACCCGCACACGACTGCAAGCTGGCGACAAACGGCGATGCATCGTGCTCTGTAGAGTCAATCAAACCCAGGTCGTAGTAACGACCTTGCTCTGAACAAGCGAATTACACGCGAAGCGGAGAGGAAACTTTGACGCCCCACTTCACTGCCCTCGTCAGGGCCTCCACCGCGCCAGGAGATCGTCGGTGTCCTTGAGCTTCACAGTGCTCCGTAGTGTACGTCTCAATGCTGATTAGGTAGCCAAGGAACACGGAAGCTATGGGTTTTGAGTGCTGCAGGGCATGTGCGAAACCGTCTCAGGCGCTCTGAAGTTTTGACTGTGAGTCTCCGGGAAGCCACTAGGTTGCGCTCTTGCAAACCGCAGCACACCGGTGTATGCTAAACCTGACTGGTATCACATGGCTCCAAAACCCAGAACTTAAGATGCCGAAACGGCCTAAACGACCTTACACCTTGGATCTTCACCCCCTTAACTTCCGCACCATCTTGTGCCTGTTGGCAGAGATCAATCACCACCGCGCAGCCTCTTCCGAAACTCGACGGCCTTGGAGGAACTGTTAATCTTTGCAAGGGTTTCAACGAACTTTGTCGGCAAGGGTTGTGCACCTTGGACTTATTGTTGAATAGAAGCTGCCGTGGCAAGCCTGTTGAGCTTTGGAGTTGGTTCCCGTTCTTTGAGAAACCGCTCCCTGTTCTGTTGGGTTTGGGCAACTCTGAGGATTTTCCTGTGATTGACGAATTGCATGGCGAGGCTGAGAATGAAAGCTGTCGGCCGGAAGCTGATGGCCTGAATCTTCGTAAACAAGGTGAATAGTTTTGAATTGCTTCGGAGCAAGTGTAGGACACAAATTGGCCTGGAGGGGCATCTTCCAAAGAAAAGCCCAAGGCATTCGACAACGGACACGTCAGTTGTTCGGAGATCTCAATGCCAGCGGCTAGTTGCAGCTCGCGGGCCCCTCCATGACTGTTTCACCATGCTCCCTCTCTCTCTCTCTCTCTTTCTTTCTTTCGCCAGGGCTATGGTGTAGGGGTGTTACCCCCTACACCGCGCGCTCAAGCTCTCTCTCTCTCTCTCTGTCTCTCTCTCCCGGGCATAGGGGTCGGTCAAGACCCCCGGGCTTCAAGCCCACCCGCATGTTTGGTTATGCAAGTTTCGGGGGTGAGGAGCGAGCATAATTCCCCCGTTCTTGCTGAAGGCTGGGTATATGCGATGAAAGGAATAGGAGGAATCTATGCTTTCGGTAACCATGTTCTCTCTCTCTCTCTCTCTCTCTCTCTCTATCTCTCTCTGCGACTGGGTGATCGTGTTGGTGATTGCTGAAAGTTTTGTTTTGTTTCCGACGCAACAAGCAGACAGTGAGAGAGCTGATGACGCTTGCAATACATGTTGTGCGCCCTGACCTGACACATACAGTCAAGGGACGCATGCTCAGGTCCGACGCTTACTTTTGCGGCGCACGCACGGACATGCGCACACACCGTTGTGAAAGAGAGAACAGTCTGTTTGTGTAACAAGTGGGTGGGCGGAGGTAGCGCATGGTCATGGTGACTTCAGTACCTTTTGGGCGTTATTCGACTGCATTCCGGTAGACCGAGTCTTTGCACTTGAAATGCCGATCAGTACAAACCCTTTGCTTGTTGAGGCCACGCTTGCAACAAACAGCGTGAATAAATCAGCTAGTGGGCAGTGGAAGGGCTGAGGGACGGGGCTTGTGGGCGGCTTTAGGGGCGCAGGTTGATGGACGCTGATGCTTGGTACGGTGTTGGGCGAAGGTTGTGGGGGCTTGCGGGCTGGTTGTCGGGGCACAGCTCGCTTTCCCAGGTCTGCATTGCAAATTCTGCCACTGACGACAAACCACACACCACTAGGAATGCTGAGATGCTTGAACTTCACACCATGACCTACTGCTAGGCATTCTGACACAAACAGCCAGGGGACGCATGCACAGATCCAGGCTTTACCTCTGCGGCGCGCACACACACAGGCGTGCACATTCTTGCGACATCTTGTGCCAGTGCGGAGGATGACGTGGATTGGGGTGTAGGGTTTGCCTTCATTGAATGAGTCAGCGGAGGCGGGGCAGAATCGTTGTGACTACTGCTCCATGCTTCGTATTCGAATGAAAGGCTGACCGATTGAGAAACCAAGATGCAGAGTCGTGCCACGCATTTGCTGAAGGATACGCATCTGATGCTGAACAGAATCAGCTACCATGAGCATTGAGCATTGACCGTGTTTAGGAGCGAATAGGCTGGCGAAGAAATCGGCGGGGGACTAACACAAATTCACCATTGGCATCCAACACCTCACCACCGGGAGTGAAAGGAGAATGTTTGAAGTTTCACTGGTTTTCGGCAGGGGGGCGCTCCTTCTCGCTAGGCTAGTGGGAGGCTGAAAACGTAACTGCGAAACTCGCCACTGGCAACGACCTTCGCCACCGGCACCCAGATTCTAAAATGCATGTTCGTTTATCGGATTGTCCTTCGTCTGAGCACGGTACATGCTTTTCGACCAGCGTCATTTCTTACTTTCTGCAAAATCCTGCCAGGTCAAGCGCACGCATGGAGTGGCAAAGGAGCGGAGGCATTAACGCTTCCCCGCTTTGCAATGAGGGCACCCTGCCTGTGTTTTCTCAAGTACCTCTCCTGCACTTTGAGGACTTTGAGGGGCTCCGCTGCCTCAGCGACGTTGCCAGGGCTATGCCGCATGCACCTGCCGCAGGGTGGGGTGGGGCCGTGCTTCCGCAAGAAAGGCTTCATCAATGAAGGCTTGCCACTCCGAAGCACGCAGTGTCAGAATGCAAACGTCTGAGCTAACGACAAGCTTTTTGTAACAACCAGCAGATCGCAACTGGGCAGTCTCCGCAGCCGCCAGTCTAGTGACCCGGGGCTCTCCTTTAGAGCGCCTAGTGGGCTTAGCATCAATGCTGCAGCAGCACTCCATGCTTACAGCAGCATCTGAAGCTATGAGTTAACCACTTTGGTTGAAGGGAAAAACCTGCTCCGGTTCTCGATCGCGAAATGATCGCAGGCCGGTTTCACGAACCCTGTCTAAGAGAAGGTTGACACTCAGAAAGGGAACCAAAATTGTGGATAATGACGTTGGCTCACCAGGTTGTTGGTGATGCATCCCACTAGCACCAGGATCACAGTTCCCAGCAATGAAGGTGTCACCACCTAGGTGAAGCTCAGGCCCGGTGAAGCACACATGTGCAACAGTAGAGCCTGCGATTTGGAAGCCCTTTGCCCAACTAGCCACTGGCAGTCTTCAACTCAAAACCCCATGAAGCATCAACACCACCAAGTCGTGGTGGCATCAATCAAGTAGCATACGCACATGAGAACTATGGTTTAGGCTTACCGTTTTTTGCACCAAGAGGCATAAGCAAATTTGAACTTGTGAAGCACTGGAACGATCACGAAAAGCAGCGCTGTTGCACCACCGGGAGGATGCACAGTGTTGGTCAGCTCCTGGACACAGGAATGATCGGAATGCAGGCCACATATGTAATCGTAAATCTATATACTTAGCCTCAGGTTCCCTCCACCTAATCCTCCTCCCTGCAGCGCGAATGATTGGTGACACCCTGTTTTTGCGTTCGTTTGCCACGCCCTTGTCCGGCTTCCCCTCATTTTGCCCCTCTCACACCCCCCCCCCCCCCCCCCCCCCCCCCCCCCTGGCCTCTCCCCTCGCACCGCCCTCCGACTTCTTCTGCCCGCCCCCATCTCCTTTTCCTCGTCCCCGCTTTGGCTTTCCCACCAAGCTCTGAATCCAGCATTTCACGGGTGCCTTGTCTTCTTTTCGTTCTCTGACCAGACCGTTTACAAGACCCTCGCCCTGCTACTGGAGAGCCGAGGCGGGCGGCGTAGCGTTAAAATTAGTATATATGTACGATTATACAAAACACTGATTGTACAGCGCAAGCTGTCTTGAAAATAAGTACGGGAGTTAAACTCTAGCATACTGAACATCTGAGAGCTCTTCTATCTTCGTGGGACCCACACCCTTTGAAAGGATCCTATCTTCCCACGCTGTCGGCGGGAAAATTGACGGGATCTTGACCCAACTCCGCTCCTGCAGAGTGATAGTCAGGGCAACAGAAAGAGCCGCGCCCAGCCAGATGTATTCGCTCAGGCCTGCTGAGCCCATGAGGTCGTAGACCTGGGAGTAGGTCGGGCAACTGAAGACACTACATGAGCATTGCTGCGCAAAATCCCGATTATGGCTGGAGCCATGTTTGCTTTCCATGTGTGTGACCGCATGCAAGCATGCCCCACCCGCAGCCAAGGCACGCAAACGCCGGTCAAGCCGCCGATGCAGTTCCCGATGATGGCATTCTTCGGCTGAGCAAAGGGCACTTTCCATGCGCTGAAGATGATCACAGACCTGGCAAGTCAACCTGGTACTCCTCTGTAGGATGCAGATGTCATGACTCCAGTACCGTGATGCGTACGGCTCAAACCATTCGGGTACCCAGCCAAATTTCGAGGCTTCATGTCCTACTGGGCGGCTACTATCCAAGGCACATCGCGCCAAAGGCTCCCACCAGCAGAACTTCGTGGAGGTCGGGGCCAACGAAGTAGGTATGCAGCAGCCCCAAGGTACCTGGCCATCTAACTCAGCATACTCCAGATTCGAGACCCAAAACGTACCAGCGATGAGCACGAGTGACAACTGACAGCATTTTGTATGTGTAAAGCATACTACAACATATGATGCCAATCACTGTTAACACTGACATTTTGAAGCTTGCACGCTCCGGATTTGATTTTTCAAGCCCCTGAAATCTCAAACATGAGCCAAGCTACCAATGCCCACGAAAGCGCCCAGGAAGCTACACCAAGTCTGTGCCAAGGGTGGAGAGGCTGCAGGCAGAGGCTTGGCGTTTGCGCCCAGGAACTTCATGAAATAGTTGGAAGGTGTGGATTCCTCTGCCGCCTCCGATGGGAACCAGTACTGCGGATAGGTCCGGGCCCCCGACAAGTTGTTGGTGATGCAGGCAACGGCCACCATGATCACGGCTCCCAGGAATGATGGGCAAAAGACATACTTGTAGCCTAAGAAGGCCGGTCACCAGCTATTGCTCAAACACAGGATGGCAATGGACCTCATGGACCCCACGAAATAGATCACTTTGGTCAACTTTTCTCGAGCCGAGCCTGAGAAATGCCTGACCACACTTCCCATCAAACGATTTCCAAGCCGTCAAATTCCCACCTGCAACCTGACCACGGCACGGCTGTGCTTTGATTCCAAGGCACCCAAATGCTGCACCAGTGGGGTTGTGACATAGATCAAAGCGGTCGCTCCGCCTCGGCTGCTAGTCTGCTAGACGTGCTCCCATGGAAACACACCAAGGCTTTGTCGCTTCTTTTCTCACTGCTGTTACGAGTGTGAGATTCCAGTCCTGGCTTCGGAAGAGTTGGGGGGTTTGGGGGCCTGTGTTTCCCGTTGATTCGAAGTAGACGTTAGGGTTTAGGGTTTAGGCTTAGGGGTTTAATGGTTTCAGTCCCTCCGTTGTACAAATCTGGCCCTGCTCGAACACGAGAGTACCACCAAAAATGGGAATTACATTGAGAAAGTGATCAGGCTACGAGACTGTTGGGCCTCTCGCTAAGGATCTTCAGCTAACCTGGAGGCAGCACAACCCGCAAAATTGGTTGGATAGACATCTCCAACTATCCAGATGTCCAACTATCCATGTTCATCACTGGAGCAGGCATCGTCCCGCCTGGTGGATGCACGGTTCGTGTGACCTCTTGCGCCACGATGGTCAGGGAAACCGCCAAGGCGGAGGCCAACCACACATAGCTGCCCAAACCCAGGGCGGTCAACACATCGTGCACCACCACACCCACCAAGCCGCCAATGGTGTTGCCTTTGAATCTGGGGGCTGAAGCATACACTATACACTCAAACACGCATCCAGTTGTGGGAGGGGGGTTAAGGGGCTATGGCTCCCAGTCCGTTACTGGCGGAAGACTCTCTCTTGGCAGAGGGGCCGACGATGACGTTGAAAGGCTGCGCAACGGGAGTCTTGAATCCGCTGAAGAGAATCACTGACATCGCGCCAAAGGATCCCACCAACAAGGGCATGTGGGTCTTGGGAAGCATGAGGTGCGCATGGATCAGGCCGATGGCACTCATGCCGACGAAAGCACCCAGGAAGCTCCAGGCCAAGAACCTGATTGAGCTGGCGAAATCCAACGAAAATCCGGCTGTCTTTGCATGGGTTCTGCCATGAGGCTTTTCATAAGGAACATCTACGCAAAACAAAGGATGTACGGATGCACGGTACAGCGAAGCTCTTTCTCTTCCGCGCGTCTTCCTCAAAATAGGAGAGGCTTTGCAGAAGGTTATCCTGAAACTGGGAAAGCTTCCCCAATGGCCGACCCATGGATGGCCCCAACTCAACATGCTTCAAGTCAAGGGGCGACGGAGGCAGTTTTGGAGGTGGGCTCTCACCCGCACCTCTCATCTTGGACCAATAAGTCTCGCACCAGCTGGGCTCCGAAGATTCCTGACAAGACCGGGCTGAGGGAAGCTTGAGTTAACACTGGAGATGTTTGTCGTGAACCCGAAGATCACTGCGGAAATCGAAAGGGAATCACTGTCGGAATAAACAACCTAAATCCACCAGCACTGGTCCTTGCTGGAGTCACTGGCGGCGTTCACCTCACCGGCCTCCGCATTTTCCATCAGTTTCATTTCGGTGTATTTCTGCGTCATCGATCAAATCGCTCCGCGCGGATCTAACGCTTCTTCCGAGTTTCCTGAGCCTAAACGGCTGCCCAATCACGCCACGAATTCATGTCAAGGCACTCGCAGTGAGATCCAATGAAGAACAAAACCTAATGAAAAGACACAGACAAGGAGAAAGGGCTCCAGACTGCCTCGGCAGTGTTCGAGCACATCACGCCGCCCCAGCCCATGATGGAAAGGCCTCTGACTCTGCAAAGCAAATCGAAACTTCAGGCACTTGTGCACTGTGCAAGCACGGTCGGGTCGATCAGCTGCGAACTGCGACTCTGGTTTCAAAACCAAGTACATCGACCTGTTGACCGAAAGACCATGTCAATGCACACAAACTTCGCGCCTTGCTGATCCGTTGGGCAGGCACATGTTGGGCCACCAAAGCTGCGAATGCGCAACTGAAATTGTTGAGTTGGCTGGCCACTGCAAGAACGACAAAAACAGAATCCATCAGAAAGGGATCGGACAAGCGTGTCAACGAATTTGGGCTTGTTTTCACTACAGACTTCGACCTTCATTCCTACTGAGCCTAGTAAAGCACAAAGCAAGCTTGTACTTGCCAAAAACGTGTCATCGTTTCATTTGAAGTTGTGACACACATTGAGTGAAAATAGCTGTGAGTGCACGAAACCATCTCGCAGTCAAAGCACGATGCGTTGCAAGTCATGGCATAGCCCCACTTCGTTGGCAAAGGATTGCTGAAACACGAATCATTGCGAAAAAGCACGAAGCAATTTGGGCTCCCTCGTCGCAGCTTGCAGGCAGCGGACTGGCATCAGGTACACGCAGCATTGCCACGATGGCTGGTGGCGGACTGCCGCTTCTCTTGGACCACTCACGATTTCGAGGCGACGCACGACAGGCTCAGACGAAGACGATGGCACAGCAGCTCCCATTCCAATAGCTGCTGCTTCCAATGTGCGAGACACTGTCACAGGCTGGGCCACGCAGCTTAAGGGCCCCCCAATCTTTTCATCATCTCCCGAGGCTTCCCCTGCTCGGCACGATTGCTGGCCAGCCAATCCTGAACCTTTGCTGCGGCTCGCTGTGTCGCTGTGCTCTTTTCAGCGGAATCCTCCCAACTACCCCAAGTTTGCCTGCCAGGCAGGACCCTGCCTTCAAACCCATTTGGCGGATAGGTTCCCACATCAGAGGCACAAATGCATCTAACACAGGATGCGGGCCGTCGAAGCGCACGGGCTGCGCAGCGCGTTCTTGCGACTGCCCGTTGCGGATTTGCAGGGGTCAGTGTCTCTTCGGAGAAGGGCATCCTTGACTCAAAATCAGACGTGGCACATGCCAGGTTGCAAGAACTGATCCGAAAGCACTTCGTCCACAAAACATCGAAAGAACAAGCCCTCTAATTATAAGCCACTAGCATCCACTTGGCGATATCCTCCAGGACGCTGGGCCTGGCACTGGGCCATACTAGGCCTAGAATCCCAAGACATGAGGATGCAGCACGAGATGGAGCACTGCGACTGCCCGCACGTCACACAGCAGGCACAGCTGTTTCCCCCAATCAGACAAGCTCTGAACCCACACTTCTTCAGATGGGTCATGAAACTCACATGCTAGCTGCTAGCTGATAAAAGGATGAGGAATCCCAAGCCCTTTGGCCTTAGGCCCTCATGAAACTCTTATACTGTCTAGCCGCTAGCCCGCACAGGAAGCCTGTTGGCCACATCGGCTTTGCCAATGCGCCGGATTCCTTTGCAGAAAACTGAGATTACTTTGCTCACCTTTCGATATGTGCAACTCAAGAGGCAAGCCGTAGTGCAACCAGCATCGTGGCCGAGCTGAAGAAACTGATGGATTCCGCATTGGAGGTCTGCGCCAAGTCCGTCTGCGGCGGACCTCCAATCATTTCGCAAGTGGGTCCGAGTTTTTGGAAGCATGCGCCGTCTGATATCAGGACGAATCCGCAGCAGACGTCTGGGTTGCAGAGGCTGCAGCACTCCTCCCAGGTCTGAATTCCCCCCTGCGTGGTCTCAGCTCCAGTCCAGCCAACATTAGCGCCGGCATGAAAGGTCGCTGAACATAAGCCGAAAGGGCCAGCAGCCTGGCTTACCAGACCGGCTCCGACGACCCATGGGGTGCTTGATGTGGTTGTTGTTGTCGTGCCACCGTCACCGGGGCTGCCACCTCCACATGTCGTTCCGGCGCAGTTGAAAGGAGCTTGCGCAAAACTGGCCAGCGCCGTCTCAACAGCTGACGTGCAGCAATCTCCTGGGTAGCAAGCCATGTAGTCCTGCACGTATTGGCAAGTGGTTGCCACATTCCCATCCGTGGGCGGTGACAGTTGTTGCATGCATGTTGCTGCAGTCATGACCGCATCAGCGTCACATGCCCCGACGACGTCTGGTGACATCCACACCGTGAGGACCGTGATCAAAGAGAGAAGCCGGGACATGCTGAAGGGTCACGAGCTGTCAAGCACTGCTTTCGCCGCAACGAAACAGACTGGGTGATGACCTTGGATTCGAGCCTTGCCTGTACGATCACGGGACCGACATGCTACTGAGTGCATGTCAGCTTCGACAGCGCAAGCGATATGTACTTCTGACATGGACAAGTACAACAGGAAGTTGGCAAGCAAGCTTCTGCGGCGAGCCTCGTCCATTCAACGAAATCTGGATCCATATGTGCGAAGATCGCAGAATCCTTTCAGCTCTATTCTTAAGGTTCCCGCATCAGAGGCACAAAATGCATCTAACACAGGATGCGGGCCGTCGAAGCGCACGGGCTGCGCAGCGCGTTCTTGCGACTGCCCGTTGCGGATTTGCAGGGGTCAGTGTCTCTTCGGAGAAGGGCATCCTTGACTCAAAATCAGACGTGGCACATGCCAGGTTGCAAGAACTGATCAACTGATCCGAAAGCACTTCGTCCACAAAACATCGAAAGAACAAGCCCTCTAACTATAAGCCACTAGCATCCACTTGGCGATATCCTCCAGGACGCTGGGCCTGGCACTGGGCCATACTAGGCCTAGAATCCCAAGACATGAGGATGCAGCACGAGATGGAGCACTGCGACTGCCCGCACGTCACACAGCAGGCACAGCTGTTTCCCCCAATCAGACAAGCTCTGAACCCGCACTTCTTCAGATGGGTCATGAAACTCACATGCCAGCTGCTAGCTGATAAAAGGATGAGGAATCCCAAGCTCTTTGGCCTTAGGCCCTCATGAAACTCTTATACTGTCTAGCCGCTAGCCCGCACAGGAAGCCTGTTGGCCACATCGGCTTTGCCAATGCGCCGGATTCCTTTGCAGAAAAACTGAGATTACTTTGCTCACCTTTCGATATGTGCAACTCAAGAGGCAAGCCGTAGTGCAACCAGCATCGTGGCCGAGCTGAAGAAACTGATGGATTCCGCATTGGAGGTCTGCGCCAAGTCCGTCTGCGGCGGACCTCCAATCATTTCGCAAGTGGGTCCGAGTTTTTGGAAGCATGCGCCGTCTGATATCAGGACGAATCCGCAGCAGACGTCTGGGTTGCAGAGGCTGCAGCACTCCTCCCAGGTCTGAATTCCCCCCTGCGTGGTCTCAGCTCCAGTCCAGCCAACATTAGCGCCGGCATGAAAGGTCGCTGAACATAAGCCGAAAGGGCCAGCAGCCTGGCTTACCAGACCGGCTCCGACGACCCATGGGGTGCTTGATGTGGTTGTTGTTGTCGTGCCACCGTCACCGGGGCTGCCACCTCCACATGTCGTTCCGGCGCAGTTGAAAGGAGCTTGCGCAAAACTGGCCAGCGCCGTCTCAACAGCTGACGTGCAGCAATCTCCTGGGTAGCAAGCCATGTAGTCCTGCACGTATTGGCAAGTGGTTGCCACATTCCCATCCGTGGGCGGTGACAGTTGTTGCATGCATGTTGCTGCAGTCATGACCGCATCAGCGTCACATGCCCCGACGACGTCTGGTGACATCCACACCGTGAGGACCGTGATCAAAGAGAGAAGCCGGGACATGCTGAAGGGTCACGAGCTGTCAAGCACTGCTTTCGCCGCAACGAAACAGACTGGGTGATGACCTTGGATTCGAGCCTTGCCTGTACGATCACGGGACCGACATGCTGCTGAGTGCATGTCAGCGTCGACAGCGCAAGCGATATGTACTTCTGACATGGACAAGTACAACAGGAATTTGGCAAGCAAGCTTCTGCGGCGAGCCTCGTCCATTCAACGAAATCTGGATCCATATGTGCGAAGATCGCAGAATCCTTTCAGCTCTATTCTTACCGAAGTCTTTCCTTGAAATGGCAATCCACTGTCTTGCATGTTAGCTGTGCTTGCTACTGTATCCAAACTGTGGCACATCTAGGAACTTCACTGTAACACACTGGTCCCCAGTGCAGTCATCAGGATCTTTGCTGTTGCACGGCCTCAGGGCAGCGATCACAGAGCCATGCCTTACCGCAGGCTAGGAGCTTGTGTGCAGGGATGAAAAATCCCGCAAAGTATGACTCGGTATGACTGCTGCCAGTTCTCCATTGGATCGGCCTTATACACGATATCCTGACTCCACGAAATTCCCAAAACGATGTCCCGCGGATGAGAATTTCTGGCAGAAATCATCACCGCCCCCGACTGGCACACAAACCTTGTTACCCCGAAGCATCCATTGCACATAGTTTTCTGCAACAGGCAAAAAGAACTGCCGCCAAATTATCACAACCACCAAGTAGCTCAGCATCGAGAGTACATTGTGCCCCCATAAAAGCAGCAGTTTGCACTTCGTGGCAAATCCACAGGACATGCCAACCAGAAATCAAGCGAGTGGTGGACTTCGGGCTCTGACGCAGATCGGTTCATGGAATGTGTAGACTGGACCGCACTTCCACACGATGCTGAGTTGCCGGCTCTGGACACATCTCCAAAGTCGTGTTGCAACTTGCTTGCATTCGAACCAATGATGCGCAGCCTAGCCACGGAGACATAGCAAACAACAGCAGCCATACTATGTGGTTTCCATAGTGGAGGATCTTGCGATCTACCAGCAAATCGTGCAATTGAAACTTGGTGGCTCCGTTTGGAAAAGGATGCGAACCACAGTCCACCCGTGCATGGGTCCCATATCGCCGTTTCTTTAAGCTTGTAAAACCTAAATGCGGTAGGACCCGGCCCGAGAAATGGGACCCGGATGGACCCATCTGGAACTGACTCAACCTCTGACAAACTACGAGCAGCCTTCACATGTCCAACACATCTGCCAGCCTGCACGGCGGCTATCAAGGGACTGGTCGAATCATTCGAGAAATCCACCTCATGCACAGTGGGGTTGGAGTTGCCCAACAGTATACGCGTTGACGAAAACCGTCCTGCCTCGGCACCTTCTTGAACAGCACATTCAAGACCGTGTATGTCGCCCTGTCAACTGTTCACTTGAATCTTTGAACAGCTCCGGCTTCGGCAATGTCGCATGCAAAGTCGAACCAACCTTCGAAACAAGTTTGAGAATATTGGCCACTACAGTACCTCCTGCACTCCAGCTTGCAATGGCAAAGCCCTTTTCAATTTTCCGTGTTGCAAACGCCTCGCCGGATGGAGAAATGCCAAGGCGGACCAACCGCAACGGCGGTTCGCCCCCGAAAATGTCCGGAGCCATGTTGCTGCGGATATTTCGGGATGAACAAGGCTGCAGCAAACAGAAACGTTCATGCACCGGAATGACCATGAAATTTCTCTGTCACCACATGGCATTGAGTCAATAAAGAAACCAAACGTGCCAAACTTACTCACAAAATTCTTCCGCTCCTAGCTAGAGCATGCAATGTCCTGTTTTCGACAAATCGAGATGACACCCCCTTTCCTGTCAGCCAAGGCAAACGATCCAGTGCTCTAACTTTGGAACAAAACAGTGCGTGCAAGTCAAACCCATCCCGCCACCACCCCTTTCAAACCACCACCATAAATAATGATGGCAGAGCTGTTGAATATCCGAGAAAGAGGTTCCCGCAGCGGAAAATCACATAAATGATTATGTCGCAAAAGCAGTCAAATATATTTCCCGAATAAGCTCACGCTCATGACTGACATGATCCGCCGCCCACCGCTCGACCGCTCTCAGCAAGTCATCGTGGAGGCCGTTGTTGCTTAGCAGCAATTTCAACGGATCCGAGAACAGTGAAGTCGACACGACCATGTTCTGCAAACACTTGGAGACATGTCTCGCCAGAGAACGTTAGCTGCACTCAAGAAAAAGCTACGTTTAAGAGGCAAAGCTCGGTACAGCATGCTTTTAGCAGGCGTCCAACTGCTTCGTCACCCCTGTGGTTCCAAGCAAAGGAAACCTGTCGAAGACTTCTTTCACAAACCCATAGGAAGAAGACAATACACGATGCTTTAACCCAGTTTGGTTTGCCTCTCGCACTTGAACAGGAAAGTTGAAAGGACTGGACTGCAGCCCGTCTCGGCGCTTCCTGCGTCTTGACACTTCCGTGCAGCATTCGACTCTGCGGGCTCACGGCTTCAACATCGCGTAAACAAGAGAGCCTTTGTGCAAACGGTTGCCAGCCTCGTACAGTACTGCGTGACCTGTTGATGTCAGGGAAGACGGCTACTAATTGTTCTGCTGCGCCGTGCGGTAGGTTTCTCCCACCCAAAAGCATGCCGGAACTAGTTCACGAGTGCAGGTTTCCAAGCCCGTACCTACGTGTCCTCTTGTCCTTCTTAAATCCTGTCCGAGGTCTCTTTAACGCACGTCAAAGCGTTACGTCCTACTTCCGAAATCTAGGAGAAAAAAGCCCACAAGCTGAACATGAGCCTGAAGATTTGTTTGGCCTTTTGCTCATGCAGTGTGTGCTTTTTCCGCAACAGCGCCAGTCCTTCCGGAGACAGGTTGTTGATAAAACAGAATCCCGCAAATTCGGCACGATGAGCGGACCGCACGAGCATTCTAGCCAGCTTGAAAACGAACTCACTCTGCTGAGCAGCGCCAAGTCGCAAGAAGTCAGACGGGCTCTGATACAAGTTTGCACGGGAAGGCTAGAGCAGCTGGTTGAGAATCGTTTCTTCAGGCTTAGGTGTAACCGGGCTGTGTCCTTCTGACCTTCTCATGAAACCACGTGCTTGAAAGAGGTCAGATGCTGTCCGAACCTCCACTTGGGTGAGATCGGCATCGTGCACAAATTTCCGGCACAAGGAACAAAACACAAGCCGGCACAAGAAAGGTCACTCCCAGCAACACCGAACGCATGTAAGAGTCGCTGATGACCTGCGCAGCGCTTGATGCACTTCGGTGTAGTAACACCACACTCGCACAAACAACACACTGAAGAGAATGTCGTTTCATGAGCGAACAGTGCTCAATGACGCCAGTGTCACCTCCTCTAACCATTTCGGCTCATTGTCATTGAAGACGGCGCCCACCTGCAGCTGTCGCGGCACGGGAAGTCTTTGCTCAAACCTGACACTTGGCGGACCTTCACTGACCTTCACTCTTTACCCATGGAGATCTACGCAACTGCAGTGCATGCACCTGGAGCGCGATGCCAAAGCACATGTTCATTAGCGTGACGATCATCAGGTTGAGAAGCACCTCCAAGGTCCAAAGGCTTGCTACCCAAGATGCAAGTACAAAGCACGCATTGGGCTGGGCACCTTCCGAAAAGCTTGCTTAAAACACTTGAACAGGTTGTCTAGTATCGTCACCATGCTGGCTCGGTGCCCGCGAGACCAATTGCTCCAAAGGCACATCGCAGACCAAGTATCGCCGTGGCCTACGAAAGTAGCTCGCCAGGTAAAGACCCACCTGGGCGGGATGCTGGCAAAACAGGTTGTGGGGAAGCACGGGCGCTGAACCTCATGGTCTCTGTTGAAACAAGACAAAATCATGAACCCGAGCATCAGAAGTGCATGAGCCCGCAACCGTCGCTTAAACGTGCAACCGCCACTCAAAGGCCTAACATGGGCCTAAACTGGGCGAGTTCGCCTTGGCGGTGGTTGGCATGACCCCCAACCAGAGGCCCATGAAGTAGCAGAGCCAGTGAAAGGACCATTTCTGTGGCGCGTGCCGCGGCTCGCGATGGCAGTCCGGCCAGCAGGAACCGATGCTCATGTCAAGCCCGGTCCACAGAACAGGACAAAAGATCACCAGGAAGTAGCCTTGAGACAGAGGGACAGTGCCCCAAAAAACACCGGCTTCCGAAGCCATGCTAAGTTAACCAGGTTCCTTCACAAACGATCACACACAAAGTTAAGCGACTTCTATTGGCCTCCGTCAAAAAAGTCGCACAGTTATTTATTCAAGTCACCGTACGGGAACATGTGTTGCCCGAGCTGTTTGTCGAAGGTGGAGCGAGTAGAGGCGCGGCAAAGTCTTCAAACTGCTGCGCGCTTCCGAACCAGTTGGTGACACACTGAACCTGCCGTTTGGTTAGATAAGTCCGACAGCGCATCTGCAGTCTAACTATACCTGCAGAACAAAGTTACGAAAGCCTTCAAGGAACCACTATCTCACGATCACACGGCAAGACTGTGCCGTCCGGGGCGACGTGCCCGGCAGTGCAGCAGTGGCATTTGGTGCTTGACAGCCGAAAAGTTTGCAGCTGCCGATGGAAGATCTCAATGCTGTGGTGATAAGCTCGCATGGCCACAGTGCCTGGATAGAAGACCACATAGAAGCAAAACTGTATTATGTACACGTTGTACTGCTCATGCCACTTGAGGGATTTCTTCGGCCAGTCGAAGAAAGAAAACAGTCCACAGACCGCCGATAATTGGGATCGCTGCCCACGCCACCACCGCGGCAGGTCCCAAGAGCGTGGGCCGTATCACCGCACGCGGCTTGCCACTTCGATGCAGAAAGGCAGCAATTTCAAAAACACACCAGAGACGATCCTTCGGACATGTGTCGCGCTAAGCTTGAGGCGCTCCGGGTTCGCGGGGTTCGTAGTTTGTTGGTGCTGGGCCAACTCAACTTCCATGCCGATCAAGCATGACGAAGCTCAGAAAACTCAACGGGAACATGCACAGCCTCAAGACAACAAACGGCTTAAATTTCCTCCCAGTCTCAATGTAGGTATGATCCCACAGGACCAGCAAGGTCTTAGACTGCTTGAGGATGCCGCCCAAACTCACAATGCCTTCCGCCTTGTTCTTTTCATCCACCTATGAAGGGGCATTCGGATTCGCAAGCGGTTCAGGAGCCTAGGCTGTCATCGGGATGTTCAGGGCTGCACACCTGATCGATGCAGCAGATGTCCAGAAAAACTTTGACCTTGGCTGTTCACACAGGCAGACTCATGGAGTTGCTCCTCAGCTCTTCGCCCGTACGCGCATCGACTTCAGCTGCAGCTTATTCCGTGCAGTCACGCTGCATGGCCTGCTGTGCTCTTGGATCTCGACACAGGTAGACAGGATGAAGGAAAGACGAACCAAAAAGTCCAGAGAAAGATTCCAGCCGTTTGCAAGCGAGCAACACGAGACGGCCACAGAAAGAGCGTCAGCACCGAGGAAAATGTTCCGGCTGCCATGCAGAAATAGGGGATCTCCCATACTGGGCGATATTCCAAGAGATAACCGTTGCGTGTGAGACCGAAAGTCAGGACAGCAGCCAGCGTACCTTGTTCTGCAAGCTTGGCTGAGCGCATTTACACTACTTTGCAGATCCTAGCTCTTCCCTGCCCAAACTGAGTCATCACGCTAGTCCTTTCTCTGCGCTACACCTAGCCCTACCCATCCTGCATCATCCTGCCCATCTCAGCTAAAGAGCCCGAACTGAAATCCTGGTTCCAAGCCCTGCTTGAAACTGGGCTCCCGCAGTTCCTCTTCCCTGCTTGGACTTTGGTGGGCTGCAGGGTTTTGAAGTTGACCTTGCGGTGGTGCTGTTGTAACACTTAGTAAAGGCTGCTTGTAGCAAGTGTTTTTCTCAAGTATTTGCTCATTGAAGGCATCTCGACCGATGTTCGGATCGATGTGTCATATTCCAACAAATTCAATGCAGCTGGAATGTTCAAGAGGCTAATGCCTATTCAAAGAGCCTATTCTGGATATCCATCTCCATGACATGCGCGGCCGCGCCACCGATGATGCTGGCAGCCAGGCCGTTTTTCAGAAACAGCAAGCATAGGATTTTGCCTCAATTGCTCACGCTGCCTGCAAGTGGAGACAATCATGATTGCTATTCTCACTGAAACCACAGAAAAATCTCAGCAGCGCTGTTGGATCTGGATGCGATAAGGCTTGAGCTGCCAGGAGTGTGACCAGAACTCATCGATGGCTTTGGTGGCGTGACTCTTTCTGTGCAGTCTTCGAAGTCTGCGTGCATCCTCGCCACCGCGCAGCGCGTCACCTTGGACTTGAGACTCTCGGAGACTCGGCACACGGCGCAGTCCCGAATCGCAAGCTCAGGCTGCTGCCCAGGGAGTAGAGGGCCTGGTAGGCAAAGATGGCACGAACCAGTTCGGGGCGCACAACCTCTCCACTTCGGAAGAAACTTCGAGCACAACAACAGCCGCTGGCAAGGCCAACCAGAAACCTCAAGCGCAGCCCAAGCATGTGCTTCGACGGGTCACATTCATGCCAGACACCCATCTTGTCAGGGACTGCATGTAGTTCTGCCGCCGGGCCTCCTGCAACGGCAACAAGCAGGATTCTAATGTTCACGTTTTTTCTCCGGGCTGCGCCTCCCGAGCTGCCTGCGCATGTTCCTCCCTGTCTGACGACTCGGAGACTTCATCCACAGCAGCACCAATGGCGTCAGCTTGAGCCATGGCCAAAGCTTCGGACAGAAGCCACGCAGTGCAGCAATCAGCCGATAAAGCTGCAGCGAAACCATCACACACGACGTGGCTGAATCGCGCGACGATTAGCAGGACAACCCGAATCCACCTGCGGCTTTCAGTGTACAAATGCGTTTCAAGCCGCCGCGAAAGCACCCCTTTTCTGTGCATCAATGCTGTGCTTTCCTGCCACCCTCCGTCTTTGCAAAGCCTCGTGAATAAGCGGAACAAAGCGCTCGAGTCTCATGAGCTTCCGCGTAGGAGCCGACAAAGGCAACCTCTCCCGGCTCCTCCTGGCCCACATGTCTTTACAAACCGACGTGTGCAGCACGAACAAGGCGGCCTGAGGCGCAGCAGAAAGCCATTGCTCGGAGGCGGGCCATGTCTAGTTGGTCTTATGGAAATGATGCAGATTGGTGGTGGTGCAGAACCAGCCAACTCCAAGACTAAGATTCGTGTGCATGTCGGATCTGGTCACGACACCTCAGTTTCAACATCACACATGCTGCTGTCACTCGACCATTGGAAGCCGTGCCCTGTATTATCTCGGGTCGAGAGTCTAGAGCCAAACAATCTCTTCACAAAGTCAAGCTTCCACGAGGCCTCTTGGTGGGATTCGACGAAGTCTGCACTCAGCGGATTTTTGCGCGCTTCAATGCTTGGAGCTGCTCTATCGAGGATGTCTGACGAAATATGTGAGACCGACTGACGCGCAAAGAACCCATGGGAAACAATGTGTGCCCGGCCACTGGGATTTGTCCGATGCAGTTAAAACCAGACGGGACGAGAACAGTAGATGTCCATTGCGCAATGGTAGTCATCACCTCACCACGCCTCGCAACATGGCTTGAGGTTGTGGCTTTTGGGCTTCATGCCAAAGAACGTACACCGGCAAGGTATTGCGCGCAAGAGTTGCTCGGCTTTGAGGGGATGCTGTATTTATCGCGATCCTCCGTGTGGAGATACATCCCTGAAAGGCTTAAACAAACCTTCCGTACGCCTCCGAATGCATGCTCTGCACCTTGCACCTGCATCTTGAACTCTCAATGCACAGGCAGCAGAAACAAGCCACGAGCAAGAGAGACAGAGAGCTGGTGCGTGAGGAAACCAGATGCACGACAAACAAACGATCCCCGCAGGGTCCGGGAGGCCTTCTTTCCGCGACTTCTGTAGCCTCCTTGCTCGAAGCAAATCGCTGATGACACTCCCTCAGCATCGAGGAGCCAACTCTAGTCTAGACTCTAGTCATGTGGCAGAGTCAAACATAGCTCGACATGGCCGCGAGGGGAATCCTGGATACTTTCTGCGAACTTCTGCAACTGGAAACACACAATGACAATGACTGCCAAAAGCTTTGCGCTTAACAGGGCCCTGCGAGGAAGCTCGCAAGCTATCTGTCAGGTCTCTAGGATACTCGTCAGCTTCACTGCTGAAGTCTGCGTCCCGTCCTGATCCTCGCTGAGCAGAGTGGGCATCGGCCTCTTCAAAGCGCTCGCGTCACTTTGCCATGTCGGGAATCGGGTCAGCACTCTCGAAGGTGAGTCGTTAAGGTCTTGACCGTCCGGCTCTCAACCTTTTCATTCCTTTGTACCCCCACTTGGCAGCCAGACACTAGCTTCGCACCGGGAGGCTGGTGAAAGTATTTGTCCCTCCCTTTGCTGACTTGTATACCCCTTTCACCCACCCTTGCGCCAGCTTGCGTCATCGCTACTTGATACACACCGTATTAACGAACTACCCTGGCACTTCACGTATAGAACCATGAATCGCGGACAACATTGCGAGCTGGGACGGCTAGCAGAAACAAGCCACGAGCAAGAGAGACAGAGAGCTGGTGCGTGAGGAAACCAGATGCACGACAAACAAACGATCCCCGCAGGGTCCGGGAGGCCTTCTTTCCGCGACTTCTGTAGCCTCCTTGCTCGAAGCAAATCGCTGATGACACTCCCTCAGCATCGAGGAGCCAACTCTAGTCTAGACTCTAGTCATGTGGCAGAGTCAAACATAGCTCGACATGGCCGCGAGGGGAATCCTGGATACTTTCTGCGAACTTCTGCAACTGGAAACACACAATGACAATGACTGCCAAAAGCTTTGCGCTTAACAGGGCCCTGCGAGGAAGCTCGCAAGCTATCTGTCAGGTCTCTAGGATACTCGTCAGCTTCACTGCTGAAGTCTGCGTCCCGTCCTGATCCTCGCTGAGCAGAGTGGGCATCGGCCTCTTCAAAGCGCTCGCGTCACTTTGCCATGTCGGGAATCGGGTCAGCACTCTCGAAGGTGAGTCGTTAAGGTGTTGACCGTCCGGCTCTCAACCTTTTCATTCCTTTGTACCCCCACTTGGCAGCCAGACACTAGCTTCGCACCGGGAGGCTGGTGAAAGTATTTGTCCCTGGCTTTGCTGACTTGTATACCCCTTTCACCCACCCTTGCGCCAGCTTGCGTCATCGCTACTTGATACACACCGTATTAACGAACTACTCTGGCACTTCACGTATAGAACCATGAATCGCGGACAACATTGCGAGCTGGGACGGCTAGCAGAAACAAGCCACGAGCAAGAGAGACAGAGAGCTGGTGCGTGAGGAAACCAGATGCGCGACAAACAAACGATCCCCGCAGGGTCCGGGAGGCCTTCTTTCCGCGACTTCTGCAGCCTCCTTGCTCGAAGCAAATCGCTGATGACACTCCCTCAGCATCGAGGAGCCAACTCTAGTCTAGACTCTAGTCATGTGGCAGAGTCAAACATAGCTCGACATGGCCGCGAGGGGAATCCTGGATACTTTCTGCGAACTTCTGCAACTGGAAACACACAATGACAATGACTGCCAAAAGCTTTGCGCTTAACAGGGCCCTGCGAGGAAGCTCGCAAGCTATCTGTCAGGTCTCTAGGATACTCGTCAGCTTCACTGCTGAAGTCTGCGTCCCGTCCTGATCCTCGCTGAGCAGAGTGGGCATCGGCCTCTTCAAAGCGCTCGCGTCACTTTGCCATGTCGGGAATCGGGTCAGCACTCTCGAAGGTGAGTCGTTAAGGTCTTGACCGTCCGGCTCTCAACCTTTTCATTCCTTTGTACCCCCACTTGGCAGCCAGACACTAGCTTCGCACCGGGAGGCTGGTGAAAGTATTTGTCCCTCCCTTTGCTGACTTGTATACCCCTTTCACCCACCCTTGCGCCAGCTTGCGTCATCGCTACTTGATACACACCGTATTAACGAACTACTCTGGCACATCACGTATAGAACCATGAATCGCGGACAACATTGCGAGCTGGGACGGCTAGGGGTTGTCAGAAAGTTCCTGGAGACCTCTCTTGAGTGCTCTTGCGGCCACCCCGTGCGTCCTAGTATTTCTGGAAAGCCTAGCACTCCCAGGTTCTGTAGCAGGTTGGTCCGGCTGGAATCAAGGCCGACCGCTATCACCCGAAGATGTCCCCATCCGAGGGCTCGTACGTGTGAGTCACCCATATTCCATCACCTCAACCCAGAAGCCTGAAAGACAAGCTGAAGCCGTTTGCTTGAAGCATTACATCGAGAGACAGAACGGCTGCGCCCTGCGAGTTCTGAGCTGAAGGATCAAATGGGGTTTTGCTCTATCTCGGGAATCTCGAGAACAGGGTGAGATCAACTTTGAAGCTCTTCACTTTGTACTTTGTGGACTTCACCTGCATGAAGCGTTCACGGCCACCGGCACACACCTACCAGCATGCACTCTTTACGAACGATTTCCAAGCGAACTGCGCAGGGTTTGTTTGTCGCCTGCCGAGACTCCCTCCAACGCCTTCAAAGCTGACAGTCAACGAAAGCTCAAACTGCTGCACAGACGCCCGGCCTGGGGATACGCCCAGCAGTTGCCGTCCCAACCCTCAAGGGGTGAACGTCGCTTGGGTGAGGCTCGTTCATGCCAAGGGTATTCGGACATACCAGCTCTTGCAGTGAGTGGTGCGGTCTTGTGGCTTCAAGCTTCGAGGTCTCTTCCGTACTTCCTTGACGCTAAGCCTCTGCCTACAGCAATCAAACCGAAAACTACTGGGTCCGGCGGCAGTTGCAAACTGGATTTCAGCCTCCAAGCCATCATTTCGAGAACCTCGAAGTGGTCGAAACCCGAAGCCCCGAGCGGCCTGCCACGACTCCCAAGCCGAATCTGGCCACCACGCGTTGGCCTCACCGGACCGGACAAGGGGCTTCAAAGGGCTCGGTCTGACAAACACGTACGACGATTAATCCCCTCTCTGCAAAGCAAAGTGAAATGCCACAAAGTGGGTAAGCCGGGTAAGCTACAGAGGGGAAGACAGCACGATCCCAAAGCTGGCGACACACGTAAAAACGCAGAGTGTGTACGTGGCTGGACAGAGTGTGCATGCACGCAGGCATATCTAACTCTATGTATATGTGCTAGCTTCGCAAGTATATAAGAATTCATGAACATATCCATGACTAGATGCGGAGTTGTACTCACTTTTGGTTAAACTGGTATTCGTCTGTCTAGGTATAGGTATGGTTATGTACTGAAGCTGCACATACACATGCTTGATATCATGTGGACTCTACATGCACATAAAAGCAGGTACAAGTATTTCATACATGTGTCAGGGTATAGAGCATGCTTACACCAGAACGTACTTCGTTCAGGGTGCTCAGAGTGGGATAACTCTTGGACTCTTGGCAACTGAACAGCTCAAGCACTTCCCAGAAACCCTAAAAATCCCTAAACCGAAGTGTATGGATTGGCATCTCATCCCAGCTAGCACGACAGGATATCGCATAGCCCACTCTAGGGACAAGTTTGGAGGGCACACTGATCATATGGTTTAAGGTTTAAGCTCTTATCAAAAGCTACAGGCCCGACAAACCAGTTCTACTCCCCTGCTCGTACTCTGGCACCATTCATCTTACCTTGCGCTGCTACAGCTGTTGGGGCCCAAGAGGCAAAGCCACTTCGTCAGATGGGCAGCTACAACATGCTACAACTCTTGCGGTTCACTTGTTTTGCAGGGCTCACAAAATTAGCACGAAAGCAGCATTAGGCACGGATGCAAGCCCCACCTTCTTCCCCTCGTGCATGTTGCCTCGGATCTGACAGCCACGAAGGCCACGAAGGTTTGCATATGGATGGTTTGCGGCGTCACAGAACCCCGAAATGCTGGGGTCACACTTTGCTTAAGCAAAGCGACGACTACGATCGTTCTGTCTGCGACCAGCTCGGCCATCTCGTTTGTCCTGGCGGTCCTGGCACAGGGCAGCCGGGAGAACCGTGGAAAGGACACAGTGGTACCTCGGCCGGCTTCGTCGTTGTAGCTGTATCAGCAGCAGTCGCATCAATAGAAGTAGTCGAGCCTCTGTAAGTAACTATTGAATTATTGCCGGTGGAAGAACACTATCAAGAGCCTCCACGCCAGAAGCAACACGATCGTAGTGCCACGGCTGCCTGTGGTTCACGAATTGTGCTTCGAAGAGTCGAGCTGTGTTTGCTCGGCGTGGAGCTTGGACGCATCTCCGAAGGCGCAGTGAGTGAGAGACTGACTCAGTGAGGAATCATGAGGCCACCGGAAGACAATCAAAGAGACCACCAGGAAACCCAGACCAAAGTGCATTCTGCTGGTGAGATTCTTGTGCGCGACCACAATGCTTCCCCCCAGCTACTGGTGGCACTCGTCAGCACGGCCAACATTTCCGGACGTGGTTGAGGAGCACAGCCAAAATGCTTCCTCAAAGTACTGGCGGGATTCAGACGTTCCAAAATGAAGGCTAACAATGGCTTTCCGAGGGACGGGCCCGACCTATCTTGTGAAAAAATAAACTGGCGACACGACAGTATGTATATGATATGAGATGCATATACTACTCTGAAATATGTGTATATACGAATATATACATACAGGACATGAGTGCAAAGCAGCACAGCAGGAGCTGCGTCCCGGGAAAGCTCGCGTCGCTCTGGCCTTGCGCGCAGATCTCCTGAGACTTAACGTAAGATCTAAAAATGCCCCATAATATAGTTTGATATGGTGTGCCCCACGCTGTTCCGGAACTGTCCTCCGGCCGCTGCTGGCGATTCATTCCTCCTTTCTCTCCGCGCTGCCTCACCTGGCAGGGAAAGTTGAAGGAGTGCCAGGCTCTCCATTTTCCAAGGAGCTGCTAGAGGATACTACTCCCACCGGACGGTGGTGTAGGCATATATTAGATGGATGAGGAAGACTCGCACACCGGCGGCGTGATGTTTTTTCCGCACTAACGAAGCCAGCCAGCATCCAAGACTCACAGTGAGGCCTTTTCACGCCTTCAAAAACACGGCATCTACGCGATACCGTGTGTCCTTCTACGCGATACCGTGTGTCCGGAAACACGAAATTAAGGATGTATGCCTATACACACTTGCTGAATACCATGGTTCTTCGATGCTGCAAGTAGAAGCCGTGTCATGTAAAGTGCTGTGTCAAACGCACTGCACGTTTCCCTCACTGAGCAGCTGGCAACATGCCCTTCAACATGGCTGCAACTGAGATGAACCAAGAAATGGCCTTTGAGACTGTGAGCTCCAAACATCCATATCAACATGTGACATCGATTGGGCGAGATTACACGGCTGTGCCACGTCAGTCTTTCATCAGTTCTCCCCCGTTCTACGAACAGAAGTTTTCGTGGCTGCGATGCAGTCGTGGAGCTTTGCGATTCCGGGCCGCACAGTAGTTGCATGCTAGGTTAGGGGACATGAATGCCCAGCGCGCTGGAAAGTACAGCTTCCGCACACAAGTGCTTGGAGGTCAAGGGCTCTCTGCAAGATGCAAATGTGCCTCATCCGCTGGTGGGAATTGGACAGATCCTCGCAGCAAGAGCACTAAAACCCTCCGACTACGAGAGCTTCCGCCTACTGCAACCTCTTCTGGAAACGAAACCTTGCATGGTAATTACCCCTAACAGGCGAGTAGCTTGGCGCCTTCTGAAAGACCTACAGGCATTTTTACCACTCTTGGCTAGACTCCAACAGATCATGGCAAGGTGACGCATGCCCACAGATTTCTATCAACGCTTCTGAAGGGTGTCACGGCAAACGCGATAGTATTTTGAGGAATTCAATAAGCCAAATTATGCCAAACGGAGGGAACATCTCTTGAAGGACATCCTCCTTGCAGGAGACTGAGCAGCTGCTTGCCAGCGCCATTGTCCTAATCATCAAGGGAAGGTCAAGCATCCGTGGTTTCTTGCTGGACACGCGCTCGGCAACCGCGGCAGGGAGCAAGCCTAAAATCGCTTGATTCATGGTTGCAACAACTACGACAATCATGACGAAGAAGAACCCAACGCAAATAGAGGAGAACTAGTGCATGGCATCAAACAGTACTGTTGTAGACACGGGAGCAAGTTCCAAGACCAATCACCCTCCTCGTACCGAAAACGCAAGTGATGGCTGCTCTCTCTGCTGAAGCGGTCTGGAAAGCTTCCTTCCCGCAGGCCTGCCCACGTTGGCTTTGCGATGAGGATGAGCCTGCGCTTCCGACAGCTGTGCTTCCACAGATCGTCAGATATCCAGGCAGCGGGTTCAACATAGACTTGACGAGAATTTGAAATTTCTTAAAGCTCCGGGGCTCAAACGTCCAACAGACTGGCCCTACGAAAAGCCACATCGCCGAAGAACACCCTTGAGGTAAGTGCATTTGGGAGCTTTTTCGCTCCTCGACGACGAGGCGGCCCAGCTCGGGAGTTTGCTGCGCCCGGCAGGGGATCTTTTCGGCAATGCCTTTCAGGGCCTCGGAGGGGAAACAAAAAAATTGATGAGGTGCAGGGCTGAGGGCTTCTGATTAGGGTTTGGACTCTGGGCTCACTATCGTCACATGGACGAGGGACCCAAGTTCACAGCCAAGGACCTGGTGAGTTTATTCAAGTTTCATGACCTTTGATCAAGTCAGGTATGTTTCAGGATTCTTTTTTGCCGCCATAAGCTCATAACCCTGGAACCGTGCACGTTAACAAAACTCAGAAGGCCTGGGATTCGTGCGCCTTAGCAAATGCTTCACGCAAAACGCGAGTGAGTTTCGGCATCCTATGGTGCTCATTTTGTTTACCTGCACGGCCTCAAGGGGTCTGTATGGATATTTGGCACTCCTGCGCGTGCACCAGACTGAGTTGAAACGATAGCTAAGCTAGACAACTAAACGGCTCTGCATATGTATATATATATATATATATGTATATGTATGTATATGTAGATACCAATGTGTAGAGAGAGAGCATTCACAACTGTCAACAGCTTATGTAGAACAATCATTCTAGAAGAGCTGCAGATTGCGCGCGCATGTGTGCACGTGTCACGGTTCAACATGGGCGCCAACTCACGAGTACGCATGTGCGGCCAACGAAGGTGTGTACTTTTGTAGCACAAGGAGCAAGCAAGCGCCAATAAACTGAACACATGTGCGCAGAAGGCTAAATCGGATGCCTGAAACCCAAAACGGGAGCTGTGCATGAAAGCACCCCGCTCCTCAGAAGGCGGTACAAACAACTCAGGAATCTGTGCCGGTTGTGAAAAACCGGCTTAATTGCGCCAAGGCCCATTTCGTTTGAGTGCAAACAATTGTGTCTGCTAGAGTCGCGGCCGAAAGATGCATGCTTTTAATGCCGCTTGTACGTTTGAGCCGTCTTGTGCGCCTGAGCAAAATGTGGCATGGTGCCGGTTTGTGGCCGTATCACCTGTGATCAGCCTCGCGAAGTCTGGCAAAGTGATGCTGCATTTCATGCTTCCACTCATGTTGGAAGGCAATGCCTACATGGATCGGGTGTTGTCTGATGGCCTACCCTATGACTTGTTCGAAAACACTGAAAATTGTTGTTCCAAGTGTTCTGTGTTGTGTGCCCCTAATTATCTGTTTTGATCTTGCGAACAAGGACATGGTTGTCCTGAGGTGTGCAACTGGCTCTGTCTTTCAAGGGCTTCTCTGCACGTATACGTCTTTCACTGCGGCCGTCTTGGTGCAAGCGATCCTCTGCGAAAAACCCATAGAAAGTGCGAGATCGCCCGCAGGAGCTACACCGGAGGGAAGGAACGAAGTGAGGAGCAAACGAAAGCTTGCGGCTGAGACCATGAGACATGGCGCACGAGACGGACTTTCAAGCTAAGCGGGCTGCCCACCGTGAAAGTAAGCAAACCGATTTCTGACAGACATGAGGTATGGGGGCAGAAGGCAAATGCATGACTCTCAGGATGCGACCATTGAGCCAGCGCAGGAATCGGTCAATGACCTGCACGAAGCAGCTACGCATTCCAGACTGTCGCTTGGGATAAACTGCTGCATCTGTCTTGTTAGTAGAATCGAACACCCCTCATTCCTCGCTCTCACTCTCACCGTCACTCTCACTCTCACTTTCATCATGACTCTCGCCCTCATCTTCGCTGTCATTCTCACTCTGACTCTGGGATTGCTCGGCGAATGCGACGTGCCTCTTGCGAGATTGGCGCTTCGTCGTACAGGTCTGCCCAGCGCGGTCTCGTGCAGCTAGACCTGGTCAAGACATTCAAGTCTGTCCTCGCAGGTGACGATGCCAAAGTGCTGTGATAGTAGATATCCAAAACCTCCCTGAAGTGACTCTGCTTCTGAGCGCTCGAAGCATGCCGCACATTCTGCACGACCATGTGCAAACAAGACCGACCAGCGACGGCTGGGCGACAAACGAAGAGGCCCGCCCACTCTGTGCTGCGTCCTGGCACTGCGGCCAAGTGATGTGGGACATAGCAGATGTTGCATGAAGGGGTGCAAGACTTAATCCGATCTGCTTCTCAGAGGTCGATTGCACAAGTGCCATCGATCTGAGCGGCAGCCTCGACACAGGTTATCGTCAACAGCACCTATAGCATTAAAGAGCCAAAAAACACACCGCATAAAATTATTGATGAACACAAGACGAAGAAACAAAAAGATCTGTTCACATTTGTAAGATAGTCAAGCAGTCTACATGGTTTATTCACAATGCGGCGTCATAATGCCATCTCATGTATATTATCTACTGAAGAAGACAATGTGATAGCACCAGCAATTCGCCTATATGCTCGTGCCCTGTTCATATTCAGGTTGAAAAATATGAATGAAGTTAATAGGTTCCTAGAAGGAAACAGTGCATGAGTTGATAAGAAAACTTTATACGATATGTATCAACAGAAGATAGATGATGCTCCATATTCTGTTTTATACATAAACACTAACGCTAAAGATGCTAACAATATGCTTCACATTCGCGTTGAAAAACGCATTCAAGTTGATGATGGCCAATAAAATTTACGTGCATATTTGTTTATTGTCGTTAAGATAGCGAGACGGGACAACAATGTGAAGCGGCAAAGTTTAAGGTTAAGACTTCATTTTGCAACCTGTTTTTCCCCCGGTACACGCCGCTCGCATGACAGCCAACACGAGTTTTTCGAAACTTTTGAGACGTAAGTGGGCCTGACATTCAGGCAAATGCTTCAGCCCATCACACAAGCACCGACCAACTACTTATTCGTTGTATTCGCTTGACTCGCATTGTGCGGGAACTTGCTTTGGCACGTGCGCCTCGTAGTCGAAGTGGAGAGACGGTGCCTGACATGAAGATGCTAGCTGTGCCAGCATGCGCTGCACTCGCTGAGTCCACTCACTCCACATAGCTGGAGAACATGCACGGTTCTTGTAAAGTGACGGAGGAATCAGAAAGTTTAGGCTAGTCAGCTACGAGTATGGCGTAAGCGTAGACGTTGGTGGACTTGCTTCGCAAGCACCAACGTGTCGCTCACTGCCTCCATGCCACCATGCGACAAACCTGCAACGCTTTAGCACAAGCGGATCGGGAAACGTGGGAATGTTGTTCGATGCTGTCTTCAATAGGTGCGTCGGTGCAAACGAACTGAAGCGCAGCAAGTATTTTTCGACTGGCTAGTTGCAGCTTCCTCTTCGCTTTTTGCAGCATCTTTCAAACACTGCAGGCTGGAACAAATACCGTCTTGAGGCTGTGCTTCGCCACACGCTTCAAGCAATCACGAGCTGCCGACACCACAACATGCTGTCTGTGGCGTTCAAGAAACCGTTCACATCAATGTAGTCGCTATGAATTCAGAAGAACAGGTCAGCCGGCAGTGTCACGGTTTACATGCCAAATATGCCAGAATCTACATCCACTGCTGCCACTTCTGCCGCTTGGACCTGACGTCGTCATCAAGACTAGTTCTTCCATCTAATTGCCGCTTCTGCTCCACGAAGTCGGACTGTTGTACTGGCCTGTTCGGCGGCGGCAATGTGTTCAGTAGCATCGGTGTTTCCGTGTTGTCTAGCATTGCTCTCGCCGCGCTTTCCTTGGCCTCCTTCGTCGTCCGACAATATTCTCCACAGTAAGCGCGCTCTCCGGTTGACCAGGGCACACTGAACTGCATCCTGATCAGGCCGTCTGCTTTCTGAGGTTCGGCCCACAACAATTTCCGGCCGCGTTGTAGTCTCCTAAGTAGGGTCATTGGCAGTCATTGGCGTCAGCTCCCAGCCCCGAGTAACCCCAGATACGGCGAACGTCCCCGGGCAACAATCGGATAAGGTCCCGGCTGTAGAATGTTGACTACTTGCTGCTGCGCTGATTGCGCTGCCATGGCCAATGCTGTGCAACTTATAGGTACCAATGCCATGCATTGCAGACATAACTGTCAAGTGCATTTCTTGTGGGACGCCGTGAGGCAACAGCCTGAGCCTGCTCGCGTGAGTGCGCATTACTCAATCACTGATTCAGACACACTGGCATCATATCAACCCCTCCAACTTAGGGCAGCTGCTACATAAACAAAACTCCTGACAATCAAGCATCAGCCGGGCCCTGAAAGCAGCGGAACTTCAAAGGGCTTGGAGCTCCATGCAGGCCTGTTCCTCAAGGAGCAGCTCCGGGAGCTGGCCCTATACCTCTAAGGCCTCGGACCCTTCTGTGCAGACCTACACACCACTGCTTACGGTACTCAGCGCACTCTGCTGCCCTTCACGAATGCTCCTTGTTCAGGGTGTTGTATCGGTTGCTCTCTCTCGCTTGCAAGAGAAAACAGTTGTATAGGCGGGTGCTCGGAACTCCAGCTTCCTTAACACCAACTCAGCTGCCTCGGCAGGTTGTGCCAGCGCGGCACTTGCTGCCTGACGCCAGAATACAGCAGACAAGCACTCTCGTGGTGACAGACAACGACACATCGATCCAGCTCTGCACCTTGACGTCCTCTTCTGCTTTGTTGGCCTCTCAGATGCCACCAACGTCGTGAGAGGACGCAAATGCCTCAAGTCCAGCAAACCAAGCCTCAGCATGGTTCACCGTGGAATCTCCCACGGCCCGGGTGTCTTCCTGTTTCACGCCGAAGCACAAGCAGTAAACCCGAGCGCAAGCTGCACACACACAGAAAAAAATTCACCGTGGAGAGCATAACGGCCTCCGCTTCAGTAGCCGATGCCTGTCCAACAGCTCGCACTCCCTCCTCCGGCAGACACTTCGTAGTTATCACAACGGAAACACACCAAGTGGCTCGCACTGGGTACGGCCTGTGTGGCAGATTCTCCTGTGTCCTGCAAGAGAATATGTTTGGGATCGGTATGGGCACTACGGCATGGCGCGATGTCCTCCGGAAGCCGAGCCTGGAGGATGGGCACCGCAGCGCTGGAGGCGGGCAGGACCATACACTCCGACTCCGCGCAGCTCCGCACCTCCCCGACAAAGGAGCACCAAGACTATCCTGCACTCACCCCCCTCCGTTTATGCCGCGGCTCGCCGTGGCTGCAGAGGGCGTCCCGGGCTCCACGATCCCACGCTCGCCGAAGATAGCCGGCGCCACAATGTTGGCAATATGAACGCCGCGGACCTCCCAAAACAAAGAGACAAAATGTGTCTGAAAACACTTGTATAGAGAGGAACCTCGAGCAAGGCCTCCACTTCGACCATTCCATGAAGCAGGACGGTGAGAAAACTCTCCTGGACACACAGAGCCGGATTGGGACCTCGTGAAAGCCGAAGAGCATCCACAACTGCTACCAGTACTGGGAGTTCCAAGCCGACACGGAAGAGCTCCTTGCCCTCTTGCAAACTCGTCTGCTCCGCTAGAAAGGCCTGCTCGTGCATGTTGTCCAGAAGGATCTGCAGAAACTGGCAGCTGATACTACCATCACCTTTGCGAGTCCAGGAGACGCACACTGTGTTCCGAGACTCTTCCCTGCTTAGTCTCGACTCTAGAGAATTTCATTTGCATCCATGGCGCTGGCACCCGCACGCCGCAGTGCCGATGCCGTAGCTTGCCTGCTCTGGCTGTGCGCTTCGATGACCTCCCTCACGCGGTCCTGAGCTCACTGCACGATGCAGTCGCAATCACGGAGAAACGATGAAACATCCCCCAATGGCCGACACTCGCGTGCACCATCATATCACTCATGAGTTATGGGCTTCATCTGCGGCACCTTGTCTCCCGGGTACTGTGCCAGCGCCTCGAGCAGCGCCGGCCGCGTCAAAGCCCGGAGGTCGCAGATGCAGTCCGCCTTCGCGACGTGTTGGTACAAGAAAAGGTTAAGGCGAACGGAAACACGACAGACTGCCGGTAAGGTGCACAGTGGTTCGGCGTTGCTTGGGCCTTGATGGTTGCCGTGCGACGTCCTTGGCTGGCAAACTTCAAAGCGTGAAGGACCGGCCCTTTCCGACTCCCGGCTGCATTGCTCGCCAAGCATCTGGTGCTGTTTAGAACGGCCAGCCCGCCAAAGCAACTACCAGGATGCAGGTGGCTCGAAAGCTCCTGTGCAGTCTCGAAAGCCGCATCAGGGCGCAAGACAAGAGAGTGCGTTGATCGCTCAAGTCAAGTCCAAGGATTTCATTATGGACAGAAGCCAAACAGCGCTGTCCGAGTTGTAGCCACGAAAGACGCTGCACTTGCCGACGCAGAGCCTTGGAAGAGTGGGGAAGGATGCAAACCGCACTCACACCCCAAACCCCTAAACCCACAAAAAACAGTCGGTGCGATATTACACGCAGCTTTGGGTTTGGGCTTTCGGGATGTGCGGCTTGCCCTGCCGTTGCAGACAACGGGGTAGCAACAGCGCCCCCCAGAAAAAAGTAGCTAGCTAGGACTGTGCATCTGCCAACGTGCAACCCCTCACAACTGTCTCCGAGGATCTCTGTATGTTAGTCTGCAATTCTTCCGAAGCCTTATCCAAGCCTTTGCGGCTCCATGCGTGCTAGCTCGTGCTCGTTTGCTGGCTCGGCCTTGTGGATATTCCCTTCCCCTCTTCAGCCACCCCTTGAAGGATGCTCTCCGATTCGCGGAAAGCGTAGACTGAACTTTCTTCATACCAGCAAGGCACACATACATCTCGTTCCCCGCGTTGCTCTCTTGCATGACTACCTCACGTCGGCAGTGCACCTTCTGCCTCAGCTGGTGGCCAGGGTGGGGACATCCAAAAGCGTCCTTCTTCTACAGAAGCCGAGCGGCACCATGAGGCCACCTTTCGACAAAGTGGAACCATACTGGGCTTGCACGAACACATGGCGTGCTCAGCATTCTGGCCAAGCTTCGTATCACTCTGCAAAACTCGGCACTGCAGTTTTCGATAGTGTTGATTTCACCTCAGCTGGTGTCGCGGGCTTCAGACATGGATCCCTTTCCGAAACGCAGAAGAGCTACTGACTCGATCCGTGAGGAGAAACAGCAACTGCAGGTGATTCATCGCAACTTTGTCCTTAGCCAAGCCGGTTTAAGATGATGTGCAATGATGACACATGAAGCATTGTCCGATCCTCGCTAGTGCATCCCGAGACACGAAGAAGCTGCACCTGGGAGCTTCGAGCATGCCAAAGTCGCAGATTGGCAACAAGCTGAGGGCGCTGCTCATACGGGAAGAGCAGCCGCAAGTCTCGAATGGCTTTGGCCGAAGGTTCCCATATACCACCTCAGCCAGGTAGCTGAAGGCCTACTTGCCGATCCTTTACTACGCTACCTCTGCATTTTGACGCAGATTTCTTGTCACCCGGGAGAAATCGCATATTGCCCTGCAGTCGGGATCTTTACCAACTCTACCCCTCTTGCAGGTGCTTGCATCGAAGCGTCAATCTGTGTAGGCCGTAACCGAAGCGACGCGATTCAAACAGCTGCCACCAACTTCCAGCTCACCCCGCCACGACTCCCTGACAATTGAACTCTCGCGGGAGCAGCCGAAGGCACACGCACCTTCACTCAAAGTGTGCAGCCAAGCGTCCAGGCTTTGGTTCCCGGGAGTTGCGACAAGCGGCCAGCAAAGGCCTCAGCCAGAAAAAGGAAACTGCTCAGCTCGAACTCAAGATGTTCGCAAACGATGGGGCCCGCGGATTGGCCGCCCAGGAACGAAAGGTAAGGCTAGATGGCTCGACAGCCAAGTGGCATGCCTGCAGTAAATGCCAGCCTCGCCGGCAAAGACAAAGAAGCCTGACTCCAAAGCGGTTCACAGAGTCCATGCAGACTGACGCACACTACGCCAAGAACACCTGACGCACTTGCATGCAGAACGAGCTGCATGAATCTCCCACGTCGCCCTCTTTGCAGATTTCGGCTTCTGCCTGACTGAGCAATCCAGTACAGCAGGCCAACCATAGCCTACACCAAATTCAACTTTGATGCGTGGATGTTGTGCAGAGCCGCCCTATCGTCCGAGCCGGGCTACCTTAATCAGTTGGATTTTCGAAGGAGCGAGAAGGGCATATCTGAACTCGTCCGTCAAGTTCACGAAGAGGTTCACATAGGCTTTGGCATAGTATCCTCCAGGATGGAGCAGGATAAACCAGATATCCTCCCTAAGTAAGAAGAGAAGACAAGCACGGGGCCTGGGCTTGTGAGCCAGGCTCTGCAGAAGCCCGTGGCGGCCTTGCAGGCCGTGTCTTTCATCTTCCCGAAGTCAGCGGAGTACCTGGGTCCCAGGTGGCTTGGGAAGTTTTATCGTCAAGTACTGACTCTCGGCTCTCCAAGCCTTGTGAAGAGAACTTCCAGAGATCGACCTATGTTCAAGAGCACTGCATGAAGGTCGCGATGACATCACTGATGCAACTCTGGGCAGAGGACACAAGCGGACCGTCAACGGACCTCGAGACATGAGCACAATGCTTCGATCGATTCTTGATCTTCGTAGACTGCGGGCATGAGTTTGTGGAGCCTTTGGAGCTGGGGTTCGAACTGACCGCCGTTGTGCTCAGCACGACTTGCTCGAATCCAGCGGGCTCTGTTGGCTCGGCAGTCATCCAAGAAATCTGCCTGAACTGCCGTGCAAGGAAGCACGTAGGCCTGAATCGGAGGGCTGTCAATTCTGTCAGTGACGGTCCCGCAACAGCTGAGTGAGAAGGGAGCAAGGCCAGCGAGACCCAAACCCGTCAAGACTGGCAGGATCCTACTTCTGGCCCCTAGCCTCTGCATCAGGTCCCAGTGGGATGTTGTTGTACCGGACTTCCTGTCTTCAATTTCACATATCAGCTGTCTGCCGCTTTCCAGCGGCCAAGCAGGCAAAAGGAAAAGGCAATGCCGGCTCTGTGTCCATGCAGCTGTGTCTCGAAGACATGATTGGTGTCAGGAGCATGCCAGGCAGTATCTCCGGCGCACGGCCCTGGACCAGCAGGACCCGAGACCTGGCTCAAGAGAGTTTCGACGCGAGAAGCGCGGCGGGCGCATTTTGTAGGAGACTCGCAAAGTTTCTGCCGTTCCGGGCCTGGGTCTCGTAAGGCTGCTTTCCAAGATGTCGCAAGCATATTCCGTCTTGACTTCACACTGACCTCGACTTGGTGACTTCCCGCCGCCAGCATAGCGGTGCTGCGAGGCTCATGGCTACAGCTACTCACCTGCTTGCTCTTCAGCACTCGTGTCGCACACCGGACATCCGGCCCATTGCTCGCCAAGCCGTGGGCCGACAGTCTGGACGTCGAAGGGCTTCATGAACCTCGGCTTCACAAGACATTTCCATGATCAGCACCCGCCCCGCCCCGCCGAAGGTTCTTCCCGCTCTGCGCCGAGCCGCTCCTGCGAAGTGCCCTCGAAGAGGGGATGGGCGATGGCCGTCGAAAGCTCATCCGGCTCGGGCGACTCCTCCTGCAGCAAAAAGGCCCTCAAGCTTCAGCCTTCGGATACGTCGAATCACGCATTTTCGCAAATCCCAGACAGTCCCTGGCTGTCGTGGAGGTCGGCCCCTTGCCGTGGATGTCCGGCAAGTTCTGCAGCTGATTTGAACAACTCACTCTCAGATAGGCTTCCTGAACGTCTGCCACGTCGCAGACTCCTGACCGTTGGACGTGGTGCCGCCAAGTTCATGTGTCTGACTCCTGCACAGCCAGAAAAAGCCCAGACAAGCGTTTGCAAAGCAGCCGACGGCCTTTCCAGAGTCTTTGGCGATTGCCGGTCGGACCTGTGAACTTTTGATTCGGACAACGCACCCGCGGGCATACACATACACACAGGTCGAAAGATACGTCTGCCGAAGGGCTTCTCATCCCGAGGCGGTGGGACCTGAACCAGCGCACATGCAATCTGACATGTGAGTTGGCATACATGGCCCCACCTCGCTCTCTCTCGACTGTCTCCGCACGTATCCAAATCACTTCTCGTACTGGTAAGGGTCTACACCAGGGAACGGTAGTTGACTGCGTGACTTTTTGGCCGTGGAGAAGACACTACAAGGCCCATCAATGCACACCAGTTCTGCGACGTGGAGTTGGGGGGCCTAACACTGGACAAGTGTGCGTTCACTGGGAGACACGAAGCTCTTGTGGCGCTAAATGAATCATTTGCATGAGCCAGGGGCCCTCCCCCCTTCCCCACCCGCGTTTAACTGTTGTAAATGGACCACATGGGGTGACCTAGTTCCTTAAGACCCAGGTGAATGGCCGACGACAACTCCCGCAAGCTCCAAGAGCTGGATTTCGTGATTGAGCAAATGGTATTATAATCATACTGCGTGGGGATTTGATCTTGATGTCGCTCACCCCACCGAGCTAATGAATGTGAGTGTGGCTGCCCTAAACAGACTCGATAATCTATCACCTTCACGTCCACGTTCAAACCCTTGTCCCCGGCGCGCCGGCAGGCAGATTCAGAGCTCGCTTGTTTTCACCTTTGTGATCGGCGATGAATCGTCTGTGCTCGGGATGGCTCTGTTCCTCAGAAAAGTCAGAGAAGACAATAAGCTACTGTAAGTTAAGCTTATGCCATCGGTTTCTTGAGCGAAAGTTGCATCGGCGGCATATGAATGTACAGTGTAGCACTGTGGTATGCGAAGCGTTCCCCAGGCATCCACTTAGAGTCGCGTTACGTGAAACGTTCCCCCGCTCTTGACTTTACAAGTCACAGCTCATAGCTCTTATCGTGACACCACAGAATTGACTGGGTATCGCAGTCCGTTCGCACCAGTCCGTTCGCACCCCCCATGAGTTGTGCCTCCGGCACTACTCGCCCAGAAGATGGCGCGATTGGAAAGACTACGCCGCAACTTTGAGATGTTTGGAACAAGAGCCTTGCATCCCAATTAGAAATGGCGTGACACTCATCTACGTCAGCAACGATCCCCCGAAAAGGCATACAGCATCAGGTGTCACCGAAGAAAAGCATTCGCGATCAAGATCACGATCATATTGCCGAGGTCACGATCGTAGCGTGGTTGCAGCTTACGTGTCGTCCCGGACCCATTGGCGAGTACGAGCAGGATCATCACGTTCCCATGGCTGAAGGTTGTCCTCTGGATTCTTGGACTTCCCTTTCCATATGCCTTTGCCTTTGGAGTCATGGTAGGAATTTGTGTTCCATCCTCTCCATCGTTGTTCTCGACGGGCAGAGGCCTTTGGAGTAGGCTTGGGAGCTGCAACACGCTCGCTTTCTTCAGCTGTAACCGAAGTGTACATGATGGACGTTTGCCCACGAGGACGGTACTCGGATGCTGAAATGTGATGTAGTGCAGGACGTGCAGCATTGGGATTTCTCTTCTTCTCGATCTTGCTCGACGTGAGCTTGTCGACGAACTTCGACGGCAACTGGATGTTGTGGTCGATGAGCACCGAAAGCGTCTGTGAAGAGTTGTCCTTCGTGCTTTGCATCAAGAGGACGCCCATAGGGTCGACGTAAAGGAAGCCCACAGGCCCAGTCGGAGTAGGTCGAAAAGAGAAAACTGCGTATGTCCTGTGATCTTTGGGATAATTTCGCAGAGTACGTTCAAGCAACGGAACTGCAAGATCTTCGTGTCAGTCTCCCGTCGCATGTAAGTGAAGGGCCGAAGACTTCTCTGCCGTATCCCATCTGAATTGATGATCGAATCAAAGAAGAAACCAATTGGTTCGTCCGGAAGCGCTTGAGGGTGTAGATGCCATCGGGGTCCTCAGTTTCCTGCCTTTCCCTGGCATAACGGAGAATCTCTTCATCCGTCCGTCTTTGCTGATCTCGTTGTCGGGATCGATCTCTGACAACTCGACTTTCCATGCACCAAGAACATCATATCGTTGCCCTTGTTCGAGAAAGATTCTTGCATTTGAAACATCGGAACCGTGAGCCACCTTGATAACCCAGGCCATGACTTGTAGATGGTCCTGCACAAGACGTAGGCCATGTAGGAGAATGCAGCTCTGTTCGCGTCAAGGCAACAACCAGCTCCTTTGTTGCGGTAGTAAGGTGGCTGCATAGCCGTGCGAGCCATCTGGAGTTCGGGATCGATGTTCAACGATTGCCAAGGGACGAAAACCAGTCGATGCTCCTCAGCCACGTTGGCAGGTACATCGTCGTCGAAATCGGCTTCTTCCTCATCGATATCGTCAATCATCTCAGCGTCCGGCTCCTGCTCGATTTCCGATACATGAACATCTTCTTCTTCATCGGCTTCTGGCAACCCTTCTGGTTCCGCAACTGTTTCTGTCTCCATTGCTTCTTGCTCTTCCTCGGTCGCGGCTGGAACAGCTGCTGCTGCAGCTTCCATCGTTTGGGCGATGGACTCACTAGGGATCTCCGAAGGAGGCTCCCTCTGTGGTGTCCTTGGTAGTGACCACCGGATATGAAAAATGACCAGCATGATGTGCATCTGGTGAAGCATGCGGGAACGATGCGGTAGCAAGCGGGACAAACCCTCATCTTTCTTCCGCCGGAATCTCGTCGAAGATCTTCAGGTCTCCAATGCTTGATGAGGAACATAATGCCTTCACGCATGTAGTGATGACGTTCGGTGTTCTCATGGTGCATGTCGAGGGTCCCAGCAAGTGAGCGCAAGAGCTGCTCCTTCGCCGAATTGTGAGGACCAGACGGCATCTCGCACAACAATTCCATGATCCTTCCCGGAGTTCTGTAGCGCTCGAATTCCGGCAACAATGGAGAAGCTGTGAATTCCAACACAGCAGATTTGACAGCAGACGGCGGGTGAGATTCGATTTGAGATCCTTCCCAGGGCTAGTAATGCAAGATCTTTTGTGTGCGGGAATGGACCTCTACGAGGCGGTACGCAATTCGCGAGCGCACAAGTCAGCGGTGATCAGGTCCAAGCAACCCAGGCAGGCTGCCTTGCGCGTCACTGACCCCTGGCAATGAAAAAGGGGACGCCGCGCGCTTGCTCTGAGAGTCGGGATACATTTCTGTCAGCATGCGGCTGATGCGTCGTTTGTCAGCTCTTAAGCTGATGTCCCATGCTGGCTAAGCAAGTGTTTTAGCCATGTGGTCAGTGTAGATTCTGGCTGTACTTACCACCACCTTCAAAAGGAGAGAGCGTCGCTTGCTGTGGTCGTGCTTTGTTTCTCGTCAGGGGGTTGCTTCTACGGGACTGGTGTGCCTGTTGTGTTCAGAGTTCAGGGTCAGGGTTCGATAGGATCCCGCGGGTCGAACCGGAGGGAACCGGAGGGGCGAAAAGAGGGATCCGATAGAATCTTTGCTAGGGTGGTTTGTCTAGGGTGTGTCCTTGTATGTCGTTGCTCTTGTCTGGCGTGTGAGGACTCGAGTTGCAGGAGCGCTCGTCTTTGCAGTGTCCGGGAGTTGTTGCATGCAGATGTTGTCGTGTGTTGCGAGGCAGGCTAGGCCAGGGAGTCTCTGGGGAGTGCGGAGTGCCTGGATAGTGCGGCGTGTTCATACTTGCAGTTGTGTGTCTGAAGCACAGTGATTGTGGTGGTACCGGTGTGTAGACCGGGAGCAGCACGGGAGCCGCCCTGGTTTTCGATCTCCCGCCCGCCCTTCCCCGATCAAAAATCTGGGCAGGGGTCGTTTGTCAGCGTCAGGCTGATGGGGGATACATTTCTGTCAGCGTGCGGCTGATGCGTCGTTTGTCAGTTCTTAAGCTGATGTCCCTTGCTGGCTAAGCAAGTGTTTTAGCCATGTGGTCAGTGTAGATTCTGGCTGTACTTACCACCACCTTCAAAAGGAGAGAGCGTCGCTTGCTGTGGTCGTGCTTTGTTTCTCGTCAGGGGGTTGCTTCTACGGGACTGGTGTGCCTGTTGTGTTCAGAGTTCAGGGTCAGGGTTCGATAGGATCCTGGCAACCGCCTGTGTAAAAAGTGTGTTGCGCCTGTTTTCTGATACTGGTAGCGGAGCGAGAGAAGTTCGGGCCTCGGGTTCGACAACTCCCTCCAGGTCCCTACCTGGAGTGCCTCGCCTTAGGGCCGACGGTGCTTACACGCCTCGCCCTTCCGTAAGTGCACCTCCCTTCAGTGCCGCAGATTCCGGTTGAGGTGCGCAAAGTTCGGTGCCTCGCCTTCCGGCTGAGGTGCACAATCTTCAATGCCTCGCCTTCTGGCTGAGGTGCGCGATCCTCTGTGCCTTGCCATGTGGCTGAGGTGCCCCTTTCTGAAGCACCAGCCCGAAGCGGCATTGGTGCCTCTGAGATCGCCCGGCCACGATCGGCCCGGAGCGCGAGCACTGCGCGGAAGACGAGTGCTGAGCTGAAGCCAATCGGCCCAGCGAGCCTGGTGAAGAAGGCGCCCCAGCGCGAAGCGGGGAAGGATGCCTGCGCCACGTCACCGGCCCCACCACTCTCACCGCCCTCACCGCCCCACTGGCCTAACTACCCGTCTTAGTATTCGTATTAGTATTAGTATTAGTATTAGTATCAGTATTAGTATTAGTGTTGGTACTAGTATTAGTATTGGTATTAGTATCAATATTAGTATTAGTATAGTATATTATTTAAAGGCTGTCAATGTGTGCCCGAACCGGACCCAGCCCGGGAGCTCCTGCTAGCGAGACCTACAGCAGCAGTGAGGAGGAGGAAGAAGAAGAGGAAGCCGCCGAGAGCGATGCCACAGTGCCCGGGACCTCCCCTCCGAGCAGTCGGGTGGCCAAGAAGAGCTCAGCGCCCCCACCGTCTTGGGCGAGCTCGCTGCCTCCGACGCGGTACCGGTCGCAGGCTTGGGAGCCTCTTCGGGGCCACCACCGCACCCGTCTTCTGCGGGCCAGCCGACGACGATTTTTCCAGATGGGACGGCCCAGCAGGGGTTGTACACTGCCTCGGGACAGTTCATAGGATACTTTAGGGGTCGGAGTGCCCATGTTGAT